CCCATCCAACCCCACCACCCCCACAAAATTTTATTGCAGATTTGGGCTGCTCTCCTCAAGCCGCACACGACCATGTCATCAGAAAAAAAAATAAAAAAATTTAGGCAGTCTGCCGACTGCCGATGGGTCCGCCTACGGGTCGGCCCGACTGGTAGGCGCGCCTACTGCCAACGGTAGGCATAGGCGGTAGGCGCCAAAACAACCCTGCTTATAAGCATAAAGTTATAATAAAAGTTTAACCCATTTGGGAAAAGCAAAGCAAAAAAAACAAAAAAAAAAGGATCCAGGAGGGAAGCTGTACGAAAAACAGTTCGCATGGTCCCCGCGGCTGACCCCTGGCCGGTATCGCCCGCATGTTCCCTCGTTGGAGGCTTGCACTCGGGCTGGCTGCCACAGGGTTCACCATAATAATAATGCTGTAATGATAGTAAAACGACCTGAAAGGCCTCCGTGTCAGATTCGACAGGCAATTGAATTGATGGGGCTTAAAACGGATCAGCATTTAACAAAACAAAACAAAACAAAAAAAAACAGTTGCTCGAAAGGAAAACCACACAAACAATTAAACAATGCAGAAATCCCTGCTGCTCACGGCGACGACCCCGCTGCGGGGCAGGTCACTGGTGCTGAACCAGCCGGCTTTTCTGCACAGAAACGAGACCTGAACATATCTCTACTGACAGCCATCAATCACACTGCAAACAATCCTCAAAACGACAAACCATATAAGGTTGGATAAGCCCAAAGGATAAGGTCTGATAAGGTTCGATAAGGTTGGGATAAGGTTGGGATAAGGTTGGGATAAGGTTGGGATAAGGTTGGGATAAGGTTGGATAAGGTTGGACAAGGTTTGGATAAGGTTGGGATAAGGTTGGTAAGGTTGGGATAAGGTTGGGATAAGGTTGGACAAGGCTGGATAATACAAAAGAAAAGGTTATATAAGGGTTGGGATAACGCAAACGATGGACCCCTCTTCCGGTATGCGTCAGCATTCGAAGCACACCTCGCAAAGCTGACTGATAGCCAAGAATGTTTGTTAGTTGCTAAAAATAGCTCTTTGCAAACCAGACAAAGGGCCTCGCCGCCTAACTCACCAAATGTACAAAATGGAAATGCATTTACCGACAGAACGTGGAAAGATACACCCCCCACAGTTTTTGGTCTTTTTCACATTTGCTAAGTGGTGCGGCGAGGCCCATTGTTGGAGTGGTGTGTCATCAGAGTGACGTGTCAACTGTGTCAGACTGACGTGTGAATTACAAAAAAAAAAAAAAAAAAAAAAACGACAATGGTAATGACCTGGCTGCATAGCTGCTCTACACGATAGTAGCTAAGGAGAAAAAAAAAAAAAAAAAAAAAAAAAAAAAAAATTAAAAAAAAAAAAAAAAAAAAAAAAAAAAAAAAAGTTGAGGGAAAAAAAAAAAAAAAAAAAAAAAAACATCTCTATTTTTAATATTTTATTAGGCTACTAACTTACAGATACTGACAGGCATAGGTACCTCCAAATGCACTTCCCTTAGAAAGACGACCAAGTGCAGTGCATGCACGTGGTCTTATCCTTCTTCTTTTTTTTTTTCAAAAATCACAATGTCCTTATCTCTGTTGTTCTTCACCGACCCACTCATTTGCTGCATTATATCTCCCCCTGCCGACTCACAGGGCCTCGCTGCACTACTCTCCGAAATGTGCAAAACGAAACCGAATCTTCCACTAGAACATGGAAAGATACATTGCCATTTTTTTTTTTTGTCTTTTCTGCATGTGGATAGTGCAGCGAGGCCGACAGTTTCTGTAATCTCCGCTCTTTTCCCCTTCGTCCTTTTTCCCTCTCCCGTCGGGCAAGGGCGGAGGGGGCGAGGAGCGCGGGGGTAGGATGGGGGAAAACCACAGAAAACGTTCCACGTGGCCATTCTGTCTGCTGCATTATATCTCCAACTGCCGACTCACAGTATCTGTAACCTCCTCTCTTTTCCCCTTCGTCTTTTTTCCCCCTCCCGCCAGGCAAGGGCGGAGGGAAGGCGGGGGGGGGGGGCAGGATGGGGGAAGAACACAGACAAGGTTCCGCGTGGCCATTTTTTTGTCGGCTTGCCGACAACAAGCCTAATCACGCTGTCTGCTGACGCGTCCGGGGTCCGCAAGACGACAAAAAGATCGTTTTTTGGGGGGCAAAGGCGGGCGATTTACCTTTTCGTGCTGACGTGGACCGTCGTTATCCAACCCAGAAATCAGAAAAACGCTTTTTTTTTTTTTTTTTTTTTTGTGCAGGATGGGGGAAGAACACAGACAAGGTTCCGCGTGGCCATTTTTTTGTCGGCTTGCCGACAACAAGCGTAATCAAGCTGTCTGCTGACGCGTCCGGGGTCCGCAAGACGACAAAAAAAAAACGTTTTTTGGGGGGGCAAAGGCGGGCGATTTACCTTTTCGTGATGACATGGACCGTCGTGATCCAACCCAGAAATCAGAAAAACGCTTTTTTTTTTTTTTTTTTTTTTTTTTTTTTCACTACCGTCTTCACCCGAATAGAACGCCCGGTCATTTATGGCTGAATTCGGGGCAACTTTCGATCGGGATACCCGTCATCACCTCTGCCATCGTCGCGATCGAGATCGGGATAATCATCATCATCGATGCCATCCCTTCGCAATATATACTGTCATCCTAGGACCGTCCCGCTCGCCATCCCCACTACCCTCCTCCTACTACTACTACTCCTTCTCCACCTCCGGCTGCTGCTGCTGATGATGCTCCTTTTCATATCCCCAGGTACTTGTCCCACACGTGTCATCCTGATTCTCGTCTTTCTCTTGCTCTTCCTCATCCCTCCTTTTCGTCCTCTTCCTCTCCTTCCTCCTCGTGATCATCATCAACATCGCCATCATCATTACCATCACCATCATCACCATCATCATTACCATCACCATCATCACCATCATCATCAGCAGCAGCAGCAGCATGATGGTCATCGTCGTTGCCCTGACCTTTATATCATCACATTTCTTTCCATCATCGTCTTCATATCGCTCTTCATTATCTCTCTTCTCTTGTTCCTCCTCGTCATTACCATCGTGATCATCACCACCACCATCATCACCATCGCCACCTTCCTTTTCATCATCATCATCATCATCATCATCATCATCACCATTATCACCATCATCATCATCATAGTCAGACTTTCTCATACTTCATAATTCTGACAATCACCATGTCCCTCCTGTTTCTCCTTTCCTCACAATAATTATCTTCCTCCCCTTCCAATTCGTGTTCCTGTTCTTGCGCCTCCCTCCTCCTCCTCCTCATCATCATCATCGTTGTTGTCATCATCATCATTATCATCATCAACCCTGTTCTTGCGCCTCCTTCCTCCTCCTCCTCCTCCTCCTCATCATCATCATCATCATCATCATCACCATCATCATCATTGTTGTTGTCATCATCATCATTATCATCATCAACCCTGTTCTTGCG